CCCCGGCGCGGGCGGTCATGGACAGGAAGCCGAACCCCATGCGCACGTTGAACCACTTACAGATGCCGGCACCGTGCAGCAGCTGCGGCTCGTCCGCCGCCCGGGCTGCCTTCGCTGGCGCCTCCTCGGGCGCCTTCTCCGCTGCCTTGGTGCAGCCACCTGCAAACTGCTGGTTGGACACCGAGCCCATGATCTTCGGCTGAGCCCGTGGCCCCAGGCCCTTGGTCGGGCGGCTGCTGGCCCCAGTGAAGTCTGGAGGCCTATTATGTTTATTTCTTTCAAAGAACCAGCTCTTTGATTAGTTGATCATTTGTACTTTTTTTTAGTCCCAATTTTATTTTTCATCTTTATATTATCTTTCCTTGTACTATATTTGAATTTGGATTGTTGTTGTTTTGCTATTATCTTGGGGCAAACCATTAGGTAATTTATGCGAACTCACTCATTTTTCTGCTATAAGTACTCACAGCTATAAACTTCACTTTTGTTATTCCTTCAGTTATGTCCAGTGGGCTCCTGTATAATGTACTGCAGTTATTCTCTGATTGTAGGAACTGTCTAATTTCTTCCTTGATCTTTTATGTGACTTGTTGGTTATCTAGTATGGTTGTGTTTAATTTCCACATGTTTGCATTATTTCTTTTATTCTTTCTTTCTTTTTTTCTGATAAAGCACTGGTTTATTTTGATACTGGTGCACTGGGACAAGGTGTAGGATTTAACACTCCAAATAAATATTCCCAGCTACTGAGAGTCAGTTACATGTAGACATTTGTTTCTATTATTTCTTTATTTTTGGGTTGAGGTATAATTATAGACAAGCATGTCTTTTGTGTTCACTTCATTGAGTTGTTAAAGTACAAACACCTATGTACCAATACCCAAGATGAGACATGGAACACTTCTATCACTAGAAAACTCCCTCCTTGCCTGTTCTAGTTAATGTACCACAAAAGCAACCACTATTCTGATTTCTTTTCTGTTTTGTTCTTTTTTTTTGGGGGGGGGCAGAACTGGGGATTGAACTCAGGCCCTTGCACTTGCCAGGGAAGTGCTTATTCCAATAAGCCATCTCCCTAGCCCTGACTGTTCTGATTTCTAGCCCCATTTTACTCACATTGGTTTTCATTTTTTAAATTTCAAGTTGTTTCACCACTATTCTGGTCACAAGACACTGCCATGTATCTTTTGATAATGTTAATGTATTTTCATCATTTAATCTGCATCCCAGATTCCTGATTTTCTTTTTCTTTCTTTCTTTCTTTTTTTTTTTTTTTAAGGTCATGTCTACTTGTTGGTCTACTGTCAGTTTCATTTCTTCTTTGATGAATTGAACCTATATTAACCCCAATGGCCACACATGATTACATAGTACAAGTAACCTGGTCTTTGGAATACTACTAAACTGTTTTATATGACTGAAAAACTAGCTCTTGGAATCCAAATGTACAGTTCCAGAATGAGGCATACCCATTATCTCAACCCTCAGTAGCCTTTGAAAAGGATCAGTTGGGGGAGAGGGTGGGCATTATACTCAATTTACAGATGTGAAAAAGACTGAACAAATAGGTGGCTTATACAGAATGCCCTTACCGTTAGCCAGTGGTGTCAGGACTAGAATTCTCTTAGTTCATTCTACTGTCCTGGGCAGCATGTACATAAAGAGCCAACTTGCACTCCAAAATTTAAAGTCCTTGTTTCTTCTCTGAGAATTCATAGTTTGACCTGTCCTTTCATCCTCTAGCCTAGTGCTTAACACTGTTAAAGCCCAGAGATCTTGCTGTGTCCAGAGCCTCCTTGCTTCTTACTCTCTCTTCTTCTAAACAAGGGAACACCAGACTATCTGACTGGGATGGCTTGGCTTCACAGTACTTCTCCTTGAAGTCTCTTGAGTCCATCTGTAGGACTTCAGTTACTTCAAGCAAGGGTATATTGATCGATCCAGGGATTTTTCCATATTCCACAATTTCCCATTTCTGTCTAACATCAATTAACATAATACTATTGAAACTCAATAGGTTTTTAAGTTCCTTGCAAGTGACATCCTTAGAAACAGTTTGTAAATTATGGACACTTCCTTTTATTGACTTCAAATCAAAAAGGGCATTTTTCAGAGGCTCCAGCAAGGCCCTGCACACCCACAGGAGCACCAGTGCACACATTATCCTGTATTTCTTCCTCTGAGAAGTGTATATTCATCTCAGATGCCCATTTTTAGATTGGGTCTTTGAATTTGGAAGGCCTGATTTTTTAAAATTCTTTGTGTGTTGTAGACAGAAGGTCTTTTTCTGAAGGACAGTTGACTATAATTTTTTTCCATTTATTGGTTTTCTTTTTACTCTGTTGGAGATTTGCTTTGAAGTGCAGAAAATTTTCAAAAAGATGAGATCGCCAGTTGTTGACTCTTTTAAGTATTTCCCATGCAGTTTGGCTTATTTTTATATTTTCTGCAGAACCCCAAGGATTGTGTTTTCTTGAAGTCCCCCACTATTTCAGAGGCCCTGTAGTTTACCCAGGCTATGTCATTCTCTTCCTTTACACTGATACACAAGGAAGGCAGTCTGACCCCAGATCTGTGTCAGACACAGGCAATTTGTTAAGGCTCAAAGACTTGAATCTGAGACTTTCAAATCCAGAGCAACTCAAGTGGGGCCAATCCTTTCACTCGGGTTGCAGAGCCAGTGTTCATCCCTGCCCAAACTCAGTCCTCTCAAGAGGTTTTTTTCTCACCTACTCCCTGACTGTAGCTGTCTCTTATGACTGTCTCTTATCCAGTCACTGTGGGAAGGTAATACTGGGAAATGTGCAGTGAGGTCTTTCCCCATCCGAGTGTCTCAGATTCAAATGGTCGGCCCTTTCCTGGACTGGCACCCTTAGCCCACACTCTCTCCAGTGATATGGCAGGCACTGGTGGTGGGGTCATTGTCCTGCTGTTGCCTGCTGTGTTCACAGACACCCATTTGAGCAAAAGCCTGTGCTGTCTCTGCAGATAACAACTGCTAGTCCTGTCCATAGCCCCTGTTTTTCCTGCCAGCTCTGAGAGAAAGTCTAGAATGTTTCATTCCCTTTTCTGGATTCTGGCCCACCTCTTCTACTTCTCTGTAGCTTTTGATTTTCCTGCCAGTTCCTTTCTGATTCCTGAGGATCTACCTCTCTCTCTCTGTGTCTCTCTCTGTGTCTCTCTCTCTCTCTCTCTCTCTCTCTCTCTCTCTCTCTCTCTCTCTTTCTCTCTTTCTCTCTCTGTCTTTATTTTCTTCCCCAAGTTGTTAATTTTCAGTATCTGTATTCCAAATCTCAACCTGAATTTTTGCTTCTTACCACTCAGCCATCTTGAAATTCCCCAAAGATTTAAATGTTGAAACAGAAACACTTAATCTACTGGAAGATAAAATAGGTAAAACTCTTGAAGCCATGACTTATAAGCAAGGACTTTTTGAGCAGAAACCCAGTTGCGTTAAAAGTAGTCTCAAGGATCAACAAATAGGATCATATGAAATTTAAAATCTTCTGCACAGCAGGGGAAACAACTAATGGAGTAAAGACACAACCTATATGATGAGAAAAGAATTTTTCCAGACACACTTGGAACAGAGGACTAGTATTTAGAATATATAAAGTAATAAAATAAACCTTTCCAAATAAAAGCACAATCAAAAAAATGTGCAAATGAAATGAACAGTTCTCAGAAGACAAATTTCAGGGCTGGCCAGATAGCTCAGCAAACTAAAGCAGAGCACAGTGGCTGGGGTTTGATCCCCTGCATGCCGTGCCTGCCTTGCCCCCAGTATGTGCTGAGACAGTGATTTAGACTTGGCGTGGTGCCACATGCCTGTAATCCCAGCAGTTGGGAGGCTGAAAACAGGAGAATAACTATGAGTTTGATCTATGTAGTGAGACCCTATAGACCCTGCTGACTGTGTACCAAATGCATAAAAAAAGAAGACCAAGTTCAAATGACCAATAAATATGTGAAAAAATGTTCAAAATCTCTGGCTATTAGAAAGACTCAAAAATAATCCTGTGGTTCCCTCTTACTCAGGAAAAAATGTCTATCATCAAGAAATCAAATAATGCTGGGAAGATAGCTTAGTGGCATAAGTGCCTGCTCTGAGTTTGATCAGTGCAAAAGAGAAAGAAAGAAAGAAAGAAAGAAAGAAAGAAAGAAAGAAAGAAAGAAAGAAAGAAAATGAAATGAAATAGTAACAAATGGTGGTGAGGTTGTAGGGGAAAAGGAACCCTTTTACATTGTTAGTGGGAATATAAATTAATACAGCCACTGTGGAAATCAATATGGAGATTAAAAAACAAACAAAAAACCCCCTAAAACTAAAATTAACAAGTCCATTTGACCCAGCTAGTCTCCTAGTAGATATTTTCTTGAAAGAGTTAAAAAGACATCGTATTGTACTGATAAATATGTATCTATGTTTATATCAGCCCAGTTCATAATAGATTTGTATTGGCAAAGGCCTGTATGTTCAACAACAGTTGAATGCTTAAAGAAAATGTGGAGTGCTGCTTGCTATACATAAGGATACATTTGAGTCATTTGTAGGAAATTGAATGCACCTTGAATCCATACCATTAAGTGAAATAAATCACACATGCTTAAATATTGCATTGCATTTCATATATAAGAAATATAACATAAATTAATGAGCAAAATAAAATGCATAGGAAACAAATAGATCTTTTGCAAATGGGAAGGGAACCAAGACCTGGAAGGAGGAAGTAAGAGCGAGAGGAGAAAGGGACACAAGAAGAGTTAAAGTGTGTGGTGGATATGTGCCAAGCACCCAAAATGAATGTGGTCACTATGTGTCACAAATGTGCACCAACAAAGAGACTGAAAAGTTACCTGAAGTATTCATGGTGGCTGTTCTGTGCAATTGGAGTATAGATATGAAAGATTTGAGACTAAAGTATTTATTTTCACATCTTTGTGGAAACTCCAACACTTTCTTGATTTCAGTGAGTTTCCAGGTAGCTAATGTTGCCATGGTTGCCTCTTCCTTTGAATTTGCCTCTTCTTTTGACATTTTTTCAGAGTCAAAAGTAGCACAGCTGAATTCTTCCTACACCAAAAGAATGGAAACAGTCTCCTCATATCCTTCATGAATTCAGCAGACAAGAGAGAAGATGGGGATGGCATATGTGCAAGCTGGTGGAGAGGAACAGAGAAATGATTTAGTTGGCTAAGAAGTAAAAATGTCAAGGAGAACACTAGACAGCACAGCTCTGAGCAAGGCTTTCCACATGCCCCTCTCTGCCTCCTGCCCTCAGATTCTCTTGCTCGCCTTTCCCCCTTTTTTCCTCTGCCCTGTTTTATTTTATTTTACTTCTTGTTTCATTTTCCTCTTAGACAACCAAAATTTTCTCATTTCATTCAGAGCATTTTATCACAACTCTTTCAAGATGTTGGCTAATAACTGTCTTCTTGGTTCTTAACCTAGGAGTTAAGAGAGTTTACTAAAAATAGTTTATCGCTAGGAGGCACCCTGAAACTAGCCATTAGAAACAGCTAATTGGTTCCCACTTCAGTATGGAACCACATGCCCAAGACTGGCATTACTAGACTGTACAGTGGTTTTACTTAAAAATTTTTAAGGAGCCCCCATACTTTTTTTCATAAAAGTGATGCCATTTTTCATTACCACTCATAGTGCATAAGGGTCCTTTTTTGCATCCTCCTGTTGTATTCTGTTCTTTTGATAGTGGTCACGCCAATGATTTTAGGTTGGCATCTCATTATGTTTTTTATTTACTCACAAGATAACTTTTTACATGTGGCTTGGAAGACAGAGATAAAGTAGAAGTCAATGGTATTTTTAAACTCTGAAACTCAGTGAAGGTAAAGTAGGCAATAAAATACAGACTGCCTAATTAAGTTTGAATTTCAGAAAAACTAAAATAATTTTTACATATGTTGCCACACTGCATAGGTCATGCGTGTATCAAAAAGTCTTTGTGTGCAGCATTGGGAATGTACATAAAATTATTTATGAGAAGTCTGAATAGAATTGGGCACTCTGTATTTATATTTGCTTGATATGTCAACACTGAGTGCAGGAGGGCAGTCACCAGTGTCACTGTCATACACTGTAGCTGATAAACCAGCTTTCACCCTTTGGTGCAAGGACGCTGCCAGGTCTGCAGCACATCCAGCAACTGCTGTGCCTTTCAGTGTCACAAGTCCATCTCCAATGCCAGGGTCAGGTGGGTGCTTCATTCTGACAAGAAGGAAGCAACTTACCCAGCAGGACCCCCCCAACTCCATCACGAGTGCTGGAGGGTTGGGGACAATGAGAAACCAGTAGGTGTTCCAGAAAATTCTTGTGAATTTCTCTTAGACTTGTAGGTTGCAACGTATCCTTCAACTTCATCTTGTTCAGATTTCTGGCTTTACTAACATCAGGCAACAGGACGACAAGCTTCATTTGGATGTTTTAACAGTTGTCACAACTCTATGTGATTCACACATACACAGAGAAACAGACACACACACACACATGCCTGCACGCACACACACACACACACACACACACACACACTCACTCTTCCCACTAATTCTATTTCTCTATTCAAGCATAATACAGGCTAGAATGTTACATAGCATTTCATACAAAGATACTGGATCTCAAAGATATTAACTAAGTTGTTTAAGATTATATAAAGAGCAAGTAGTGTACCAAACCAATATTTTATCCTGGTCTAGCTACATCTAAAAGCCATCATCAGATTAAGCTGCTTTAGGGAATACTTTGGTGGAATCACACATATGTGGGATACCAATTGATTGATGAGTGTCACATTCAAAAAAAGCAAGGTAATTAATCTAATTCAGCACTAATGATTAGGTCTTAGTACTAAATTTAGTAAGTGAGTATCTAATTTCTTATAAGGGACATAGACAAATTGGAGGAATTTTTAGAAAACCAACCTACCAGAGATGGATTTAAGAAAAGAAAAAGTTAATGTATTAATGCACAGAATGAAATACAAAGCAGAGAATAGAAGTTCCACTTAGAGAGTAAGGAAAATAGTACCACTGACAAAAGGGAAGAGAACAATTTAAAAGCCCAGGATGTCAACTAAAGAATTTTGAGAGGAGAAAACACATGTTCTGTCTTTCTAGAAAACTGTAAAAAGTTCATACAATTCT